TTCTAATGTTGTCTAGTTTTTCACATCGATTTAATGGTACTGAACGTTCATATGCCGAAATATAAAGTAAATACATATGTAGATTGATAATTATATTAAGAATAATAAAATAGATTAAATACAAATCAACAATAATTCCTGTAAAGTAATACCAAGAGCTTAGTGCTTGATTCATGAATCAATTCGATAAGTATTTTTTAATAGAGATAAAACAAATTAATAATATGCATATATAGACCAATTTATGATGGATGTGGCACAATTTCATTGATGACGTATAATGGTCAGGACTAATCATCAATATTGTCAGGGTCCACATCATCAGGTAGCATGGAATACTTGTTGGAAGCTACGAAATTCTGAAATCAAATAAAATTATGTGTAATTATTATTCTTATTATTATTATAAATATCCACTAATATCTTTTAACTTACTGGAGCTTGCTCATCCTTTGCCTTTGGCATTCTGCTGATATCGTCTTTTTCTCTGTCTTTCCGCTCCCTGAAAATATCGAAACGAAAAAGTTGTACACTTATTTTTCTTATAAAATAGAATAAAACATAAAAAAAAGAAAAAGAAAACATTACCTATCTGAACCACGAGTATCATTTGGTCTTTGAGGACCTTTCGATGGTGGAGGTCCTCCACGAGAGAAGGTTGGACCTCTAGAGTCTCCATACTGATCTGAACCATACAAGTTCGTATTATGAATCGTTTAAAGTAATTTATTCCGAAGTTATTTAATCGGGAACTTACCAGATGGAACGGGATTATTTTGTGGTGCTGGTCTCTCGCTACGTCGACTTCTGTCGTCTTCGGATCGCCAAGTTAGTCGACCTCTATCTTTTTCCTTATCATCGCGACCTTCCTACAAGAATCGACAAAAATTTTATGAAGTATACAACACATGTATACATGTTCTATTATTAACTCGTATACATGTTGACGACTTACTCCATTACGCCTGTTCCAAGTACCATCTTTGCCGCGTTTCTCTGATTCTCTGAAAGGAAAGATCATTAATAATAACTGTACTAAAATACTGTAAGAGTATCGTTAGCTAGATACTTCAATTTACCCTTCATCTTTGAACTTCGTGTCTGGATATGCCTTTACAAGACGCTCTTCGATTTCTCTATCTCTGGCTGTAGTATCCACAGGTTTTGCGGCACCAAATATGTTGGTTGATGGAGTAGGTGCAGGAGCAGGAGCAGGGGTAGGAGCAGAAGCAGGAGCAGGAGCAGGAGCAGGAGCTGGAGCTGGAGCAGGAGCAGGAGTAGGAGCAGAAGCAGAAGCAGGAGCAGGAGCAGGAGCAGGGGCAGGAGCAGGAGGTGGTCCAGTAGATGAATCTTCTTTTATAGGTTGGCCATCGTTTCCGGCACCAGCTTCCACAGGTTTTGTACGGGGTTTTAGTTGCAATTTCGGCCTACTTCTTGATTCAGCTAAAATACAGAAATGTTTCTCAACAAAAACGTTTGGCAGACGATGATTATTTTAGAATTGTATATTAAAGATGATATATGTTTACCGTCCCCAGGCGGTGGTAATTTTGTTGGTTTTCGTGGACCATCCCGATCATAATCAGCTCTGAAGCCACCGCCACCACCACCACCTCCAGCACCACCAGCACCACCAGCACCGCCACCTCTATCTCTCAACATTGGTCTTCCTCTATCAGTATTTTCACGCCATCCACCAGGCTTATTATCAAACTCGAAACCTAGGTGATAAGTAAATCGACGTCATTAGTTCTTTGTATATTAATAATTCTGAAAGCATAATAAAAATTTATTGTATTACCGCCTTCACGATCTTCTCTTTTCTCTCTGTTGTCGTATCGACTTCGATATGAATCTCCTCCCTCTGAAGGCGCACTGTCTCGTGGACCACTTCTCCAATCCAATCTCCAAGATGAACGGTCAGAATCATCGTAATTATCTCTACGATTATCTCTACCCATGCGACCCCCGCGACGATCGTCATTGACGCTGATCGAAACGTCGATTCGTACTCTTCTTGCTTTCATAGGCTATGAATGTAAAATCAGTTATGATCCTTTATCATATTTTACAATATTCTCGTCACATTTTAGAATATTAGACTTACAGTATTGGATAAATTAAGAGCACTGATTAAACTCTGACGATCTTCGAATTCAACGTATCCAAATCCCTTAAGTTTATTAGATTCTTTTGGTAGACGTATACTCGAAATCTAAAAGGTATTGAGAATGCAAATTATTCTGATAAATTGGATATTTTATGAATAAATGTGTTAAATAGAGCCTGACCTTCATCTCAGAGAAAAATTCTGTTAGATATGCTTCATCCACTTCATATGGAAGATTAGAAAGATATGCTACATAGGGAGGATTAGTTGGGACATCGTTATCAAGACCGTGCGGGTCTCTTGCAGCTCTGGGAGCAGTTGGAAGAACCACTGGTTCTTTGCTGCTTCTTGATGTATATCCTCCTTCTATTGTAAAATAATAGATAAGTTATAAACAATGGTTTTGCAAATCAATTGTATGTGTAGTCTGACGATATACAGAAAAAAAAAAATCGTATTGTAAATCTGGAGCACGCATCAGCTTTTAATATTTAAAGATACTTAATTACAAGATATAGCTTTCTTTTGTTCCTTACAATACAATGGATGAATACAGTTAATTTTTATGTTCAATTACTATTTGTAAAATTTGTTTTCTCTGAAATTATTATTGTATATAACGAAAATATAATTATTATTACTATTATCCAGTATAAATACCATTGTTTATAAAAATTCATTGGAAAGTTATGAAAATAAAATGATACGAATAAAGTATTTATGAACTTGTTTTACCATGTTCATCTTCCATATCATCTGCCCAACTTGGTTTCATTAGCACAGTGGGTGTTTCATTCTCTTTAGCCAAAAATGTCATTAAACCGACAGTTATGCACTTCTTTTTCTTTCCTTTCTTTCCTGTAAAAAATCAAGGAAACCGTCAACAGACATTTTCCGAAGGAATCGTGAATATACGGTGGTACAATATTGAAAGCATGCTGGATTTAGCGAGAAGTTTGGTTATGTCGCGACAAAATTGTAAAAACACATCAACGCCCAACAATTCCGAAGTTGAAAATATAAATAAACGGACGAAACGTTAAGTGTCGTTCCATATATTTCGAAGAAACCGTACCTGAAGACATGATTGCTGCCCAAATTTAACTGAATGCAAATCAAATTCGCGTTTCGATGGAGCACAGGACCAACCTCAGGATCCATAAGGCATGAAACACGTTTTAGAAAGACGCATGTCGGCCAACATTGGGCATTGCGAATTTAGGAGGAACAACAAAATATACATGCTTTTATTTTCTAAATACCTTACTTTAAAATAAATTATATAAACGGATTAACACGATTATCGAGGAATGTTGCTTAAAAATAACTTTTCATCCCGGTTGTTGCATTGAATATCTATAACAATCAATCGACAGTTTCGAATGGTATTAAATTGCGGCGAGCCGACAATTTAAGAAGCGAATTAATAATAATATAAAACGATATTATATTTTTCTTTTAATGGCATGAGAACATCGGTATGGATAAAGGAATATTGATGATTACGGAAATGAAATGATCGATAATATGATTGTTCCGTGGTCTCGAGTTCTGATTCTGGTGGTGACCATCTATAGGAAATTTCGGAACACACGATTCAGTTCAAGACGGTCAGGAGCGCCGACTGTTACAGGAAGCAACTGCGAAGGAGGTCCGAGTCACGTGATCGTAACATAGTGTGCTGAAGACATGGCGGACAAAGACGAGAATGAGAAGACCATCGCCGAAGACTTGGTTGTCACCAAGTATAAAATGGCCGGCAACATCGTAAATCGTAAGGAAACGACTTAACGTTCTCTAATGAAGCGCAGAAATGAAAAGTGGTACCATCTCGTAGAGCCACGAACCCCTGAACGTTCTATTTTGCGGCTGGCCATATGGAATGTGGCGGGCTAATGCCGGGCCCTCTTACCATGTGGGATAGACCAGCATTGGCTGTTACAATTCAATAATTCATCGATGACCGATATATTCTATGTTTTCTTTAACGATCGATCGAATAAGAAATTATTAATGCATTTCTATTCGGTTCTAGATCCTCTCTGTTATTCTTTTTTAACCAGAGGCCAACATTTTTACTTATAAACTAGAATTCATTCACTCTCCCAAAACGCCGTGTTTCCATGTTTGTATAACGACCACCAGTCATTGGAAAATCGTTAGAACCTGTTCCCGTTATCAATTCTATATTTTATTAATTTTTTTAATCGTCGCAACGATGCAATTAATTTATTGTTTGTGCTTTGAATAACAGTTGTAAATTTGTTTTTAATTGCGCGTAAAACAATTTTCTGTAAATTCTCGTTTTTGTTTTAATGTTTCTTGTAGCAGGAATACCGTGTTACATAACAAGTTATTATTTCTCATTTTAGAAGTATTAAGGCAAGTTTTAGATAAATGCGTCGAAGGAGCATCCGTAAGGGAGATTTGCGAATACGGAGACAAACTGTTGCTACAGGAAACTAGCATGGTTTTCAAGAAAGAGAAAGAATTAAAGAAAGGAATTGCTTTCCCTACGTGCATATCAGTTAATAACTGCATTTGTCATTTCTCGCCAATTGCAAGCGAACCAGATCTTATACTTAAAGATGAGGATATGGTGAAAGTGTAGGTTTATCATTTGAGAACTTGCTATTGGAACTTTATAAGTAACGCATACTTCGTATTATTAAGCATTTGTTAATTAATATTTTTAGGGATCTCGGGGCACACATTGATGGCTTCATAGCAGTTGTTGCACACACTATTGTTATAGGTTCATCACTAAAGAAAATAGTTAGTGGTAGAAGGGCAGATGTAGTGTTAGCTGCACATTTTGCATCACAAGCTGCATTAAGGCTTCTGAAGCCAGGTACAGAGGTAAGACAAAATATAAAGTGCATATTAACATCACATAAATAATAGTAGCAGTTATACATATATACAACTAATTTTTTCTTCTTTCAGACTTACACAATAACGGGTACAGTAGAAAAAATTTGCGAGGCATATAAATGTAAACCAATTGAAGGAATGTTGAGCCATCAGTTGAAACAATTTAAGATAGATGGTGAGAAAACAATTATTCAAAATCCCAATGACGCACAGAAGAAGGAACACGAAAAATATACTCTTGAAACTCATGAGGTATTTGATATACATATGATTGGTTTTATTGGAGTGAAGAAAGTACTTATGCCAATAGACTTACTATATTATACTTTTATCAGGTATACGCTATGGATGTTCTGGTGAGCACTGGTGAAGGTGTAGGGAGAGAACAAGATACTCGCGTTACGATATTTAAGAAGACAGAGGAAACATATCAGCTGAAACTGAAAGCATCGCGCATGTTTTACTCTGAAGTTACTCATAAACACGGCTTGATGCCATTCAACTTACGTACTTTTGAAGATGAGAAAAAAGCAAAAATGGCGGTCGTGGAATGTGTGAGTCATAGGTTGATCGAGCCATTCCATGTAAGTTTCCAATTAAAAAGATTTCTTTTCCATCGCTTCAAGTACCGAATACATAAATATTTTGATTGTCGTTCTAGGTACTCTACGAAAAGCCAAATGAATTTGCTGCGCAATTCAAATTTACGGTACTATTAATGCCCAATGGGCCACATAAAATAACAGGACTTCCATTTGACCTCAAATTTTATCAGTCCGATTGCGTTGTTGACGACCCCGAATTAAAGGTACAACCGGAATATCACATTCTCTTCTCATTTGTCGAATGAATGTTATCTCATTAATTGGTTGTTATTGTTCCAGAGTCTTTTATACACTTCAGCAAATCCGAAATCCGCAAAGAAGAAGAAAAAGAAGGCTGTGAAATCTGTAGGTGAAGTGGCGATGGAAGTCGACGCCAGGGCCTAACACATCCATTTTAGCGTTTATCATGACGTTTTGACATCGTGCACTTTATGTTACTTTCTGTTTATTAGCTTCAGAGCTGAAACTGGACACTATTCAACGTCATTATTCGTTTGTACCTGTTCCTTCATCGGAACGCATCATTCAGAGATTGTGATCCTTCGCGTCATGTAACACCTGAAAATCATTGTTATTCGTGTAACACGCATATTTCAATCAGTTGGAAAAGTGTCAAGTTTTCTGCTCTACACAAATTGGACCTTACCAACTCATTATGCCGCCACTTATTGACACTTACGTTTTTATACCGGAATATCTTTTAATGGACCATGGTATTATATACTGAACGACGATTATTCATAAGACATTTTTCAGCTGATGTATTACATTTCAAATATGTGGACTTGTTTCGCAGAATAATGGTCGGTTTCTGTGACTGTATTGTGCGAGTTAGATCAACCGAGCCAGAAAGTGAAATCGCACGTGCATTCATATTGTTTCTTTCGTAGGAGAGACAACAATAAAGTACGATTTTCGTTTCTAAATTAAATATTCTTGCCTTCTGACGAAAGCATATTACATTGAACAATGTCCATTTGTAAATTTCGTTAAACGAGAAGAAATTCGACGAAATCGCAGCTAAACACCGTTATCGAATGCACTGCCAAATTTTAACAATTTACGATGATTCACTTTGACACCGTTGCTGGATTTGCACTAGTTAATTTTTTCGGATTTTACGTCTCGTGAATGAGACTCGACATCGTTTAAAGAACAAAGAAATGATAACATCTAATGTTGAATTGTATAATTGGAATGACAATGTTCATATTCGAATTCCGTATAAACAATGAAATGCCAATGGACTTAACGAGTATTTCGTTGCAAAGAATTTCCCAACCGTTAGAAAATTTTATTCCATTCAGTTCAGTTCCGCGCAAATTTTGTTGCGCACTTAGTGTGAGTGTTCTTGAAATTTAATTACTGGTGCACCTCGTGTTATTCACGTTCGAGTGGAAAGGAAAATAAACAAAAAAGAAAAAAGAACAAGAAATTCGAGGAACGAAAACTATTCTTCGAAGATAAAAAGCGAAAATTATGAAATATTATAACAATGTAATAATAGTTTTGTATTAAGGAGGATAGATAATGTATCTGTTATAGATATTTTTTCTACTCAAGTTGTGCATATGTCGAATGTTACCGAGTGTGCTTGTAAAACAAAAGATGTCTTAGGCCATCGTGCACTGTCCTTCATTTGCCCCAATTTCAATGTTTTCATTGCATTTGATACCATACTTAGTATAAATATATATACCAAACATTGCAAAAGTTTTTATGAAATACTAACATAGTTGTCAATGGGTATAAGTAAAAAAATTTTAAATACTTTTCTTGCACGGAGGTCACCAGTTGAAGTGTTTACAATGCAAAAGAGGACTGTGCACAGAGTTCATATTTAACATAAAATTTAATATGGTGATATAAAAATTGTTATTAAAAATTTAATGACAAGCTAATAAGTATAGATTTTGACAAGTGCATACTTCTTTTTTCTCATTCAAAATAGTGGCATATTGATGCATAATCTGTAAGATACTGTCTACTTCTGAACGTACACGAAACACTCTTTGATTAAAAATTACAATCGAACAAGATAGAATTTTATGGATTATGACTTAGCTAAGTTTTCTA